ATGAAAAAACATGCTTACCAATGAAAAGTTAAACTTAATCAATGGCATAGGCATGTGATTCTACATGACATGGAATTTTGTTGAAATATGAAATTCTTTGTTTTTATTTGCTGTAAGATTACAACACTGGTTCACAGCACAATAACCAGTACACATTATTCTTTTCCATTATTTTAAAACATATTGGTCTAACTGTATAGTGGAAAATATGGAATGCCAGTTACCAACCTTGGCCTCATTGGCAGAATATTTGGAATATATAAGTTACTAAAAATGGGTGAAAAACACTATATTACATGACAAGTAATCATACTCATGCTGCTGTCAGCCAGTGTCTGCAGAATCTACAGTCATGACATAGTATATATGCACATTTAGTTTCCCCATGTATTGATCAGTATATTTTGCAATACAGGAAATGTCTTTGGGTGATTACTCCATATTTTGAGTGTATTTGGTCTTGCATTTTTGCCAATTGTGACTTGAAGGTGCTGTGTGCTGCTTCATATTTTGCTTACAGCATAGCAGAACCTCACCCCTGCATAACCAAGAACTAAGTAACACTCATGTACTTTTAGATCATAGTACATAGTTCACTCTCTCCAAGACATCTAGTACAAAGTGTAATAAATATTGTCCAACAACCAGTTTTTATACATCACCTCTAAAATGATGTTTACATAATTTGATAAATAATTGTTTCATGATGAATATTCATAAGGCTGAGGGTTTTCACATTTTTGTTTTGAATATCTGACAGTAGTAACCAAAATAATTGTAACCATGCCATCAAGGTTATTTTGTCGAGCTGTTGATTGATTTGTGACACTATGATTTCTTGTGTGAATAAAAACGTCACCATAAATGGGAAAGTTCATATATTTATAAAAAAAATTATAATGTTACAAGAACTGCTGTTTATTCCAGGCATTGGGAAAGACGGGCCATTTTGCACATTTGAATAAAAATGCCCCGTTAAAATTTTGAAGTTTACTATTGATACAAGGGCAGTGGCCCATTCTAAATTCAGAAAATGGCTAATAATCCTGAAATTGTCGAAGGTCTCCATCCCAATCCCTGTATTCAATATATCATTATCAGTATATTTACAGCATGGCAAAGAAACATGTTGACATATGCAGATCCCTGTCATCTATCCAAAGTAAATTTATAAAGCATTTTCTTTCACATTTGCAAAACAAAACAAAACAAATATTTTTTGTATCTTTCAGTCATTCTGTCACCTGAACTTGCATACAATCATCCCTTGGACTTGGAAGAGAGTAAAATTATTAAGCCTACCAACTAGTTTACAAAGTATTTATATTAGTACCTCAAGTATTTATACACATGCATTTTACATTGCATAAAGCCAATTGTCTCTATTGAATATTTTGTAACTATTCCAAATTAAAAAACTATTTTTTACATATCAATATTGATATTTGTTAGGAACTATTTGATCTCAAATAGTTCCTAACAAATATATCGAATATGTAAAAATAGTTTTAATTTGGAATAGTTACTAAATATTGCTGCAGCATAACAAATGTATTAAGAAAATAAATAATAAATTAAACAAACAAAAATATTCTAATTTGGAATTACATACTTTTAATTGAAAAGGAAATGACAGATTCAATGTGGCCAAATATGAATAGAACATCAACTTGATAAAGTTGGTAACACATGGCTGTTTTATGAATAGCAGTATATTAATTAATAGTTTTATTAATTCAATATAAATACAGATGACTCAAATGCATTTTACGTTAACCATGTCATTGATTCCCGAAATATGTTTTGTGACAAACACTGTCCGCGATACTGAAAAGAAACACGTTTAGCGATAGAACTGCACTGGTTGTCAAAAATATATTATAGCTAAAGAAAGGTACTCATATGTTTTCGAATTGACTCATGGTTGTCGGTAAGGAACCGATAACCCTTGAAGGAATAATAATTTTTCGATCTTATCGTCCCCAAATGATCCAATTATTACGACTGTCACCAGCTGTGACAGCCAAGCATGGTAGTACACTTGGTCCGGTCTAGTGAGGTCGTATTAGGCGGTCGCGCAATTTGGCACCACAACTGGTTCTTGCGTATTCGCTTGTCACCGGAAATCTAGTAGCGGAAGTAGCGCCTCGCGAGACTTACGGGCCCTATATGGCGGCACTCGGCAGTTATGTATTGCTGAAAGCTGTGTTTTCTTTTTGCTTTCGTCAGAAATAAAAGTAGACTTTCTTTTTGTTAATTGCAGAGTAAATCGTCATTATTAAACAGACAGCATGTTTTATCTTACCTCACACTTAAATGTCGCTTTCTGATTGTCTGAGCGCTCTTCTATTATTTTCAATGTACCCCGCTTACAAGGAGTAACATTTCAATGTACCCCGCTGTCAATGGCAACTCATTTGGTACTTCGTGGTAGTAATTCTTTATCTCGAATCACGTATTATCTTGAATCACGTATGATGTACGGAAATTACCGATGTTTTGCGCATGCAAATCAATGGAAGGAAGATAACTCTAAATCTGTTTTTCTTGTCAGCAAAATCTAGCGATGGCTACAAAAAGATTTGTACCTGTGCTTCAAACAATTCAAAATTAAAATTAAGGTGTTCGGCTCAGGGAACATAAACAAACATCGAGGGTACATCAGCCCATGCCCCCTTCGTGACCAGTGAACAACTTATCATATACTTTAAACTACATGCAGAGGGATTTGGCGTTAGGTCATTCGAATCTCATTGTGACTAAGGTCGGAACGGCGTCATACTAGAAATGTCAGAGTTACAGATTGCTGACGTCATTTGACAATTTGTGGCCTTGATGAGTGCATTTGAGCACCAAAGGATTCGAAACGAATAATAAAGCAATTATATGCCTTTCATGGGTGCCATACTGGTTTCACGAAACTCGAGTAATAGGCTATAAGAATTCATGTATTACAAGAAATACATGAATTCTGGTTGGAGATTTGCCGTCAGCTTTGGCTAACAATCAGACAAATACCAGTTATCTAGGTAAGTAAACCATGTTTGGGTATATTTTAAGTTAAACAAACATTATTATACGAATTATTAGATCGATGAGATGAATCCTGGGAATTGAATAATGGCCAAAATAACATGTGCCTGACGCCAAGGGACACCAGAAATGGGCTTCACACATTGTACGCACATGGGTCTTGAACAGCGTGACGAGCGAACGCCTTTTTACCACCAGGCTACCCAAACGGTTTGAAGAGGAATGGCGATTGCGCTCAGCGAATAAACAGCAGCATAAGTGCTGTTGATGCTATTTATCATCAAGTATGTGACATTAACTTCAGGACTGACGAACTAAGCGACTAAGGTACATCTAGCTGGCCGACCCACAGATAACAACCGTGTAAATGAATTTCTAAAAGTTCTTGATTATTTGATAAAACTTAATGGGGAGACGGTAACTCAGTGAACTTGTGGTAAAAATGAAGGATTTTGGTTCCAGTGAAGACTGAAGAATACAGATGCAGGTATATGAAGAATACACTCAGAGAACACTTTGGCAATAATTACCGACGTGAGTGGCAGAAATAATGTCATAACATTCATCACTACATTTGCATCGCTCTGAAAAAATACTTAGAATTTGTTTTGCGCCTACTTTCAAGATATATTTTAAAAAGAATACAGAAGTGAAAAATTGCATCTGTTGACCAGGCCATTGTCCAAACTGCCAGACCATGGTCTGTCATTGCTCCTCTTCGATTGGGCGGTGGGGTAGCTTACTGGTTAAAGCGTTCACTCGTAACGCCGAAAACCCGGGTTCGATTCTCCACATGGGTACAATGTGTGAAGCCCATTTCTGGTGACCTCCGCCGTGGTAACAGTCTTGCTACCCTTGTTTACGATGCAATTTAAGATTATGATTATAAATATCCATGATTTGAATTTAGATGTTCTGTTGAAAGTATCATGGGCATTGCGAACACTAAGGATCGGATGGTCCGGCATGATGCAGACTGGGTGTAAAGGTCCTCACCCGAGGATTTGGAGAAGATCTACCACTAAAGAAGCTGATCAGTGATCCTCATTTCAGGTAACAGGGCTTGAGTATTCTGCAGGTGATCAACTAATGAGGAACTATCCTCAACGCGAGAGGCGGCTTTTCTTGGCATGTATGGTGGTTTTCATTGTTTTGGGTTGGACTACCTACAATACTGACGATTTTGCGAAAAAGCCTCAACAGACACATGCTTTGTCCAGGTTCATACTCCCCTTCCAACATCAGCTGCACTAGGGTATAGCTACAGCACTGGGTGGTAGATCCTTAAAGGAGAATACTAGACAATTGCAATAATTTGCTGGGTGAAAGATAAAGTCATCAGAAACATGTACCCCAGTTTGTATTTCAAAAATATGGTTTATTATGTTTTTATCGCGAAAACAGTTTCTGTAATCTGAGCTTCGGCCATTATGCATATTCCGCTGGAACTCACGTGACCTTTCCGCTCGTGACGTCATATGTGACAAGCGTCCGCCATATTGCCAAAGAACAAGCGCTACAGTAATACAAATCGTGTTGTTTCTGTCGTTTTTGTAAATGGTACGAAGGTGTATTCCGTTGCTTGGGGGTGAATCGAGAACATTAAGGGCGGGACAGGGAGGAAGATCAACTATAGCCAAGGCCGACTGACTTCCCACCAGCTCCATACTCTCTTTGAATGAGAGGCTCTGTAGCCTAGTGGTTTAGGCGTTCGTTCGTCACGCCAAAGACCCGATATGGGGATTCCCAATATGTATACAATAAATGAAACCCATTTCTCGTGTCCCCCGGGGTGATTATTGCTTGAAAATGTATTAAAGCGGCGTAAAACCATACTCACTTTTCATGCAGTGATCGGTTGTAACTAAAGCAGATAGTGATACCAGAAGCTGTACATGCAGAAGAGTGAGTGAGTGAGTTTTACGCCGCTTTTAGCAATATTCCAGCAATATCACGGCGGGGGACACCAGAAATGGGCTTCACACGTTGTACCCATGTGGTGACGAGCGAACACTTTAACCACTAGGCTACCCCACCGCCCCTCATGCAGAAGACGCGGACTTGAATGTTCAGCAGCATGTGGTGAATGTATGAACTTTTACAGCCGTATTTGTTTGTTTGTTGTTCAACGCCGCATTGAACAGTATTCCAGCAATGTGATGACAGTCTGGAAATAATCGAGTCTGGACCAGACAATCCAGTGATCAACAACATGTACTTCGATCTACTCAGCTGGGACACGATGACATGTGTCAACAAAGTCACAAAGCCTGACCACCCGATCCCGTTAGTCGTCTCTTACGAAAAGCATGGGTTGCTGAAGATCAATATTCTAACCTGGACCTTCACGCGTAGTTTACAGCCATGGTTTCATGTGTGAAGTACATTGTATTGTGAGAGAATCTTGTAAAATCATTAATAATGCTTGTGTATCATGATTATTGCTCCCTTTTTACATTATCTTGTTTTCCTTCATAGAAGTCTGGGAAAGTTTTAGTATCTAAGAGCGCAAAACAACGATACTAGTATGAGTGTAGAGGTTATCTTGTAATACGTAGATATAGGACATGATGTGCGCTCTTCAAAATGTTGATATTAATGCATAGTATTACAACTGTATCTAGGCTATCTATTGCTATGTAGATATCTTTAGATATGCAAGGTCAAACTTAACAGAGGTGAGGTGAGGTGAAATTGGGTTTAACGTCGTGCTTGAGAATATTTCGCTCATATGACGACGTGCATGCGTGTACATGTGTATGTGCGGCTGCTTGTACTAGCCCTTGTTGTACCCATTAATGCCGAGCGTCAGGCAGGGATCAACAAGTACCATATTTTAACGTCTTTTGGTATGACGCGGTCGGGGATCGAACCCGCGATCTTCCGCTCTCCGGGCGGACGCTCTAACCACTACACCACGGAGGCGGTCCAAGCTTAAGAGATGCGTAATGGAATACATCATGCTGGCTCTCACTTGCAAATTTCAAGTTTTGGTGACAAAATTGAACTGGTCCGTCACTAAACAAACATAACGATTCTTTCACTTCACAAACAGCAACAGGGAGTAGCCGTATGTGTAATATTCCACTTTTGTACAATTTATACTTTCTCAGTGAATGTTGCTTGTTCTGCGACTAAACAGATCTCGTCTGTGACCTGGCTGATTGTGTGTCATCTCAACCCAACGGTGTTGATCGTTACTCATGCTATCAATCATTGGTTTACCTGGTCCAGACTCGATCTTTTGTCAGGAGATAGCTGGTATAATGCTGAGTGCTGCGTTAAACATCAACCTAACAAATCAATTCCTCCAGTAGTTTCCAATCTGGAGGGGGCGGCGGGGTAGCCTAGTGGTTAAAGCGTTCGCTCGTCACGCCGAAGACCCGGGTTCGATTCCCCACATGGGTACAATGTGTGAAGCCCATTTCTGGTGTCCCCCGCCGCGATATTGCTGGAATATTGCTAAAAGCGGCGTAAAACCCAACTCACTCACTCACTCACTCCAATCTTGAGGGACATGCGTCAGACGCGTGTACAGTTGTAAGGATCGATACATGAGTGCGTATACTTTTACGCCGCTTATTTCAATATCCCAGCAATATTAGGACGGGGGACACCAGAAACGGGTTTCACATTGTACCAATGTGGGGAATGGAACCCGGGTTTCAGCGTGGTGAGCGAACGCTTTAATCACTAGACTACCCCACCACCCCGGATAGATATGAATTGTTCACTATGATTAATGTTATAGAGGTGGTGGGGTAGCCTAGTGGTTAAAAACGTTCGCTCGTTACGCCGAATACCCGGGTTCGATTCCTCACGTGTGTACAGTGCCTGAAGCCCATTTCTGGTGTCCCCCTTCGTGATTTTTACGGGAATATTGCTAAAGGCGGCGTAAAACTCCTTCACTCAATTAATTTTTTACCGATTAAAATATTTTTAACAAAGATTAATAACTGAAATGTGTTCATTACCGTTGAACATTTATTACATTGTTCACGAACATGTGAGTATGGCTTACGCCACATGAAGCATACTTATAGCAACATCATGACGGATGACATCTTATTTGATATACACTTACCATGCCTGACGACCCAGCACTTTTACCAACAGGTTATCCCCCTGTCTAAAAAACTTGTTCTTTAAACGAAAGCAAAAGTGTTGCTCTTGCCTAACATGCGACAAAATTTGTTATATACATTATAAGGACATAATGCATGTGTATAATTGCATGTGAAGTGAATATATATGTTGTAACGCCTTTTAAAAAGTGGTCAGATGCAACATATGTTATATTTGGGATTACACTATCACAGTAAAATACAGATTCTACTTCTTTGTGGGGGTTGAGTTCAATCCGGGTTTCGAACCGATACTCTCTGAGCAAGCCACGTGTGCAATGCAAAATTGGTACAAATAAGATAATTTTTGAAATGAAAAAGTAATTAATATTACCACTGAGTCAGATTAAAATACAAATCTAGCTAGGTAATAAATCCAAACGTTGCATTTGTGACCCACTATCAAGTTAAATTTATATTCACGCATGAATTTTCCGGGTGAATCCGGACGCTAACAAATGCACGCACGGTTTGGCACCATGTCGACATGAAGTTCAAGGTGACATGGAGGTCAAGGTCAAAAAGCACATTGACAAGATGTCTGCTTCCAGTGCACAGTCGACACCACAGGCTAAAATCCCGAAAGGGATAAAGTTCTTGTTTGGGGGCTCCGCAGGGTATGTAGAAGTTAACCGAGTCGTGAACACACTGTTACTATAATTACCTATTTTTAACCAGCGTACCCCCATTTGTGCATTTTCAGTTAAATGCTCGCCTGTCTTGCAAATGCACGGACGTCTCGCGTGTAGTCATATCAACAGTTATTCAACAGCTTTCTTCGTGTCCGTACAGGGATTCTAAAAAATGTTATCAGAACACCCGTTATGAACATTCACATAGGCTCAACACTGAAAAATATATTTTTAATGCAATTTTGTTGTGTTTCGCTTGAGTACCGAGCAATGTTCACATTATCTTGCATGGTTGGACGAGTTTGTTGCATATCTAGACAATCATTATCAAGGTGACATTAGAAAATTGCTTTGTTGTGAATAATGAAAACAACAGAAATATTGGCACTAGGCCCACAGTCCTTGCCAGGCTGCCCAATAGTTCGGAATCATAAGTAGAAATTTGCTGTTTTTAAAAAAAAAAGTAAATTAATACGAGTTGAATTTGAACACCAGAGTATGACTGAAATGAGTTGATAGGATATGTTGATGTTTGGGTCATTTATAATATAACCCGTGAAGATCCAATTTAGAATTGATCTCCAGCAAACCATGCTTATCATAAGGGATGACAAACAGGATCGGGTGGTCACACAATTTGGTTGACACATGTCATTGTATCCCGTAGATCCATGCTCATGCTGGTGATCACTGGATTGTCTGGTCCAGACTCGATTATTTACAGACTGCGGCCATATAGCTGGAATATTGCTTAGTGTGGCATTAAACGGCAAACAAACATGTATAACAGTGGGCAGGGCGGTTTGTCTTAGGACAGTGTCATATTTTGCTGGGGTTTTATATCCACGTCGGTTCCATAGTTTCATGCTCATGATGTCACTGTCTGGTTACTGGTCTAGACCTTATTATTTACAACAGCTTGAATTTGCTGAGGGCAGTCTTGAAATTTAAAAAACCAGCAAACTGTAAACACATGTTAAATAATTATTTGCATAGTATCCATTGACATATTTTTTAAGTCCACTGATAATTACTGTATTGTTGTGCTTCCACCTGCATATTACATAGCATGTAATACATTTGCCACATCACACCTGAATTTATAACGTTAAGTTATTACCCTAGACGCTTGAAATGCCAAATGGGAACCTTTGTCAGGCAATCTGAGTGGTGTTACCACCAATTATGTCTTTCAGTTTCACAAGTTTCAGATTTATTAACTGAGCATCAAGTTAATGATTATTATTATTATAGGATATTTATATAGCGCACATATCCACGCACTGGTGCATGCTCAAGGCGCGCTGATGACAAATATAACAGGTGTGAGTCTATACCACCAAACATGGATGACAACAAGAGAGTATTAATTGTATTGTATGCAATTTAGTTGCAGTTTTTAGGATACAAATGGAACTGCATTGCTGCATAAATAAGTACACACATTTGCTGTGTACTAAAGTAAATGATTGTATATACATATTTACGGAAATGGATTTTTAAGCCATAGTAATGATAAAATGGAGTTTATTTTGTTTCAGGCTTCAAACAAATCATGTGTTGATTTCTTTACAAACAACATCGACAGCTGTAATACAGCTGAAACAAGTATACACTCATGATATTGTCACAATTGTACAATCGACTCTGCTTTTAGCAGAGATTTCTTCTAGATGTCGAAAGGGTTTTGTCGCTTCTATTCAATATCATAGGTCAATTGACATGACACTATTTCATGACGTCATTGAATGTCAAGGTATAAAACACAGAAGTGGGATCCAAATAAATCTCATCCATGCATGATAAATAAAAAAAGATTGCACTTTGGGATATATTATGAAAAACAATCGATTAGAAACACCAGGGATATTTCCCAAAAACAGCATCTGATGGGCATCTACCAATCTCTGTAATCTGCTTGTTAAGGTTGAAGAAGTTGGCATGTGCCCTTTGGTGTGTGTATAAACATATAAACATTGTCAGAAAGTTAATGACCTGTGAAGGTCAGGGTTAGAATATTGATCTTCAGTAACCCATGCTTGTCGTAAGAGGTGACTAATGGGATCGGGTGGGCAGACTCGCTGGCTTGGTTGACACATCATTGGTTCCCAATTGCGCAGATTGATGCTCATGCTGTTGATCACTGGATTGTCTGGTTCAGACTCGATTATTTACAGACCGCCGCCATATAGCTGGAATATTGCTGAGTGCGGCGTAAAACTCAACTCACTTACTCACTCGTAAACCTCTCCAGAAGATCTTGGTTAATAATGTCTCTAAGATTTCATTTTCATGTTTTGAGTCTTCTTTGAAACAATGGTGTAACAACAATTCCTTGTTCAAATACTAGAGTCCACTGCTGTGTGCAGATCATGCTTAAGCCCGGTCCTGAGATGAGCTCGTCACATTGGGACATTGTAATGGGTTTTCTCACCTCTGTAATGACAGGTGTTTGACATGAATGTTTTGTTTGCCATCTTGAATCAACATGTTTGTGAAAGCAATATGAACTGGTGCCTGTTTAATTTGAGATCTTTTATTACGAACTAATTGGGTCTAGGTTTATTAATTGTGAAATCTGGTTTCAGTAATTGTACATGTCTTTTCACCATCCAATAACGGGTTTACCAGATGGTATATGTTACCAGACTGTGATATTTGACAATATATGTCACATCTTGTGGACCTGTAAATCTACAAATGATATCCATTATACCAGGTTGAGCAAAGGCACCCAACCTGAACATTACTGAATAAGCTGAATATGATGGAGACTATTAAGTTTTATGTTCACAAGTATATTATTATAGCTTCACATTTTCAATTAGGGCTGATGTAAACACCATGTCTGTTACAAAGTTTAGTAGAAAGCATTCATTAGATTGATATCAAATGCGTCCATTTGTTGTAAATGGGAAATGTCCATTGAAATGTGAAGAATAATAAGGGAAAACAAAAATTAATTCTTGTTGGTATTACTTGGACAAACCAAGACAGACGGACAGATAGACAGGCAGACAACATTTGCATATTGTGTTCTACAGAGTAGATACCAATGGATCTGACAATGTCAAGTTTGCCAACAAGAAAATACTTTTGATTAACATTAACGTCACATTACCATATGCTTATGTTCTCGGCTGGCTAAAAAAAAAGATTGATAATCAGAAATATCATCAATGGGAAGAATTATTAATGATTATTGTTATGAAAATTGTGTCATCGATAATATTGCACATAAACTTGTGTGATGAAATAAATGTTAATTTACTCTAACAATACACAAAGTTATGTCTTTATTCTTGGTCAGCTTCTAAATTATGTTCAGGAAGTTGCGGTGGCTGAGCGGGTTAGGTGGCTGACTTTGTGTGCTGGCGATCAGGCTCCTGAGGGTATATGTTCGAATCCTGGATGGGACTCAACCCAACAAAAGTACTTAGAATCAATACTTTACTAAGGAAGTGTAATCCCAAATGTAACATGTTATATGTTCAGGAAGCCGTTTTGTATTTACTCATTGCTTAAATATGTCCAAAGTCTATAGTGATGTGAAATATGTTGATTTCTGTCTGCTCTATAGTGATGTTAAACATGTTGATTTCTGTCTGACATTTTTGGCATATTTGCTGAAAGTTACTTCTCCGCTATTTATCGATTGATGTTTAGTTAACGATTATCGATCTTCATGGTGATGTTGACAACGGTACCTTGACAACCAGCCCTGATACTCATTCTACTTTCTTGAATGTGTGTATTAAGTTAAGTAAGTTTCTGAATCTGAAGGATTACATAGTGAATTAGTCTATTAAGCATGTCCACCATTTGTTTATTTTCAGGATGGGAGCCACAATTTTCGTCCAGCCCCTGGACTTAGTCAAGAACCGCATGCAGCTTAGTGGTAGGCTAATTTGCTGCATTATCTCCCCGAGTTCACAGTTTATTACACAACTTTGTAACCATAGTGACACCTATGATACGAACTGTATAACAGTAAATAAAATTTGAATTTATAAACAATACAAATTAATAACAGTATGGTTATTCCAGAGTATATTGTGATTAATATGTATCAAGCTTTTTGTTCAGGATATATCAAGCTTTTTGTTCAGGATATATCATATATCTTGTATATCTCATGTTTTGCTCAGTACATCTGTATATCACATATATCACATGTATGTTATATTCAACATTTGAAACATTGAAATATTTTGTTCAATATCTATCATTTAGAACAATATTTTGTTCAGCATCTGTCTTTTAATACACAATATTTTGTTTAATATCTATCATTTAGAAACACAATATTTTGTTTAATATCTATCATTCAGAACACAATATTTTGTTCAGCATCTGTGATTTAGATTGCAATAGTCTGTTGTGGCCAGGTAACGCAGTTATTCCTCTTTTGATATTTTAGGTGCCAAATTCTAGTGTTTTCTAGAACTGTTTTCAGCCTTTTCTCTTCTATTTTTTCTGCATTCTGAGAAAAAACAGTGTAACTTTATCATAGAGTATGATGATATTACCTTTGTAACCAAATGTCACAATGATTTTGACAATGCCACCATTTGTCCAGGTGAGGGCGGCAAGGCGAGAGAACATAAGACAAGTTTTCACGCTTTACGCCACATCCTGAAGACTGAAGGCATCACAGGGATCTACACGGGACTGTCGGCCGGTCTTCTACGTCAGGCAACCTACACCACAACGAGGCTGGGAATCTACACGACACTGTTCGAGATGGTGTCGAAGTAAGCAGCATATGTACATTCACAGCTTGAATTTGTTCTTAAAACTACTCTGCCGTGAAGATCCGGGTTAGAATTCGTCTTCAGCAACCCATGCTTGTCGTACGAGGCAACTAATGGCAGTGTTTACGAATGGTGTTTTAAAGTAACAGGATCCTGTAAGCTTCAGATGTCTGTCTGACCCATTGAAAATTCACAGGACCCAAAGAATAAAACTAAACACACATTTCAGATTTAACATTTCTTATAATTGGCATTGAAATTATTAACAAACATAAGATTTATAAACAGCAAAGAAGTGTCACATGTCACATATAACAACTTCAGTCAAAGTCATCGTGAAATATACTGTCAGACACTGGGGCCCGGCGGGCTGTACAGTTCTATCAGACCTTTGTTGAATCTGCCGGATTTGTCAGAGGGTCAGACGCTATTCGTGAACACTGTAATGGGATCGGGTGGTCAGGCTCGCTGACTTGGTTGACACATGTCATCGGTTCCCAATTGCGTAGGTCGATGCTCATTACACTTTCTTAGTAAAGTACAGATTCTAGTACTTCTTTTGGGTTGAGTCCCATCCGGGATTCAAACCGGGATTGTGTGCTGGTGATTAGGTGCCTGACTCTGAGGGTGTGGGTTCGAATCCCGGACTCAACCCAACTAAAGTACTAGAATGTGTTCTTAAATAAGAAAGTGTAATCCCAAATATAACATGTTACATTTGACCACTTTCTAAATGGCATTGTGTAATCATAACTCCGACATTGTCGACTATATCATTAGACATTGTCTTCTTGATGCTACTTTCAGAGATGGCAAGCCTCCCAACTTTTTGACAAAGGCTGCTATAGGAATCACTGCAGGTGCCATTGGAGCTTTTGTAGGAACGCCAGCCGAAGTAGCTCTCATCAGGATGACAGCAGATGGAAGGTAGGCATTGTGGTCCTATTTCAGAATCTTTGGCTACCTTGCTTCCCTGACTGCCTCCGTGGTGTAGTGATTAGAGCGTCCGACCGGAGAGCGGAAGGTCGCGGGTTCGATCCCCGACCGCGTCATACCAAAAGACGTTAAAATATGGTACTTGTTGGTCCCTGCCTGGCGCCCGGCATTAATGGGTACAACAAGGACTGGTCGGCTCGGAGTCGGTATAATGTGTCTGAGTGGGGTATTCATGCTTCACTGCGGCTTGGTATCTCAGTGGGCTAGCAGTATAAAACCAGCTTCAGTCTGGGCTAGTACAAGCAGCCACACCTACACATGCACACGCATGCACGTCGTCATATGAGCAAAATATTCTCCAGCGCGCGACATTAAACCCAATTTCACCATGTTTCACTGAACTATTTAGGGGGAGTGACGTAACCTTGTGGACTAGCTGTGGTTCCACTCTTTGTCTGGGTTGAATTTTTCCAATAAGTTCACAATGTGTGATGCCCATTTTTGGTGTCCCTGCCATGATGCTTCTGTAATGTTACTAAAAGCAGGGATGAAACCTCAACCACTCGCCCACCAGCCCGAACAACCCGAACAACCAACCAATTCATGAACCCACACAACCACCAAAACACCAGCCAACTCACCCACCCACTACCAACTCACCCACCCACCTATAACCTACCCAGAAACCAACCCAGCAAGTCACTGGATTGTCTGGTCCAGACTTCATTATTTACAGACCGATGCCATATAGCTGGAATACTGCTGAGTGCAGCATTAAACAACAACCAACCAACCAACCAACCTTCCCAGCTAGTCACCAACCCACACACCTCGTCACCAACCCACCGACCCACACTAAATCAAACCAACCAAGTCCCCACCCACCCTCTGATTCTCGCTCGCTCGCTCCCTCCCTCCCACCCAAACCCTCACTCACTCACTCACTCACTTATTTCAGGCTACCAGTTGATCAGCAGAGGGGTTACAAGAATGTGTTCAATGCCCTGTCCAGGATCGTCACAGAAGAGGGCGTGGTCACGCTATGGAGGGTAAGTGGAGCATTGCTTGCTACTGATACACCTGGGGCTAGGGAGACAGGTTTACAGGGGAGATGACGATTAAGTCCACTGATGTATCTGTGCATCACTACACTTTATGTGTCTACCATGACTGTTTCATGTGTATTTCTGTGCAATTGCTGAAAATCATGTACAAACTCAAGCCATAAATTTTGGGTTAAAATAGGTCCCCACCAATGTATTTGCTTGATAGGCTTGTGTCATTATAGCTAGAATATCAGAGTATGGCATTAAACAACAAACAAACAAACAAACAAACCAGTGCTTGGCAGGGACTGGCACATCCAGCATGCGTTCCAGCCTAGTGTATGCCAGGGATTTAGCATGCTTATTTTGGAATGGTTATGTTTCCGTACTGTTAATGGCATTTTTATATTCCCAGGGTTGTTTACCGACAGTCGGACGTGCCATGGTTGTGAATGCTGCTCAGTTATCTTCCTACTCTCAGGCTAAACAGGGTCTCATATCTACAGGTCAGTTTGTTACATACCTGTGAAGGTCCACGCTAGAATATTGATCTTCTGTAACCCATGCTTGTCGTAAGAGACAACTAATGGGATCGGGTGGTCAGACACATGTCCTTGGTTCCCACTTGCGTAGGTTGATGCTCATGCTGTTGATCACTGGATTGTCTGGTCCAGACTCGATTATTTACAGACCGCCGCCATATAGCTGGAGTATTGCTTAGTGCGGCGTAGAACTAAACTCACTTACTCACTTATTAATAAACTGATGGATATAACAAAGTTTCATTTTGTTTGGTCCTGACCACATGCTGTATATTTAAGTAAAAATGTGAACTATGGTTAATCAAACTAAATCAGTAGTCCCTTTGATTTTGTTATGACTCTAAGTTTACTGTATATCAAGTTTGTGAGAGCAGACACATCAAGGGCAGGGCTCCAGATAAGGGCCGTATCGGTGTATGTACGGATCAATAATATGCATGATACGGTAGGAAATAATTTAGAAAACGTAGCAGATACGCAACACAGCAATGGTGTACGGTCTTAGAATCATTTACGGACGTATTTATCTGAAAAAGTTTTGTTTTATTGTATATTGACCTGTTTAAACAAGAGTAGCAATGTTGTGGTGCATATATGAAACAAAACACAAGATTACTGGTACTCCTATAATTCCATTCAGTACTCTAAATGTACTCTTAAGTAGTCTGTGTTGAAAAAATAAGGAGTACGTACTCCTAATGTTAAGAAAATTACCTTAACCCCTGAAGGGCAAGTTGTCAGCTACTAGATTGAGTATTTCATTCCAACTTTCAAACTCTCCAGAGTGCCAAAGAAATACTATGTCCTGCCTCGTGATGCCATGGATACAGGCAACATCTGATTGTTGTTTGTTTCAACGGGAATAGGTGTTCAGTTATATATATAAAGTTTTCATTGAGTGTTCTGTTACCATGGAAACATTTTTGGGGTTGGGGGTGGTGAGGGAGATAGGTGTGAGTAACTTTGTGAGGTGTTTTGCCCTGACAATCTGAATGTTGAAATGTTTTGTTTATTTGCAGGTTACTTTGGTGACAACTTATTCCTTCATTTCTGTGCCAGTATGATCAGTGGATTGGTAACGACAGCTGCTTCGATGCCAGTAGACATTGCAAAAACTAGGTCAGTGGGACACCCAGACTGAAATCAGATATGACTGGTCGTGTAGTATCAGTATCAGAGAGAATATTGGTTTTAGGATGGTATCATGTTGTTAAGCCCCCATCCACTCCAATTTTAGGTCACATTTGTTGATAACCTTCACCTCACACCCACTCCTAGCCTTCATTATTTATTTTAATGAATGACCCAACCCTTAATATTGTTAATATTATTACTGACTGAGTTTTGTTTTACGCCTTTTTTAGCAATATTCCAGCAATATCACGGCGGAGGACACCAGAAATGGCTTCACACATTGTACCCATGTGGGGAATCAAACCCGGGTCTTCGGCGTGATGAGCGAACGCTTTAACCACTAGGCTACCCCACAGCCCCTAATATTACTACTTACCCTTTTAGGTGACAAAATACATGTTAATATTTTTCATAGCTCTCCAAATACAATTATCAAATTTTGCAGCTTTTTCTGATCATATGAATGATTATGAAAATGAATGACCAGAGCCTGAACATATTATTTTAAAGATGCTATTTTTAGCATTTAATTCATGTAATATGTGTATAAATTATTTGAACTAAATGTAAACTGCAGCATGTTTGTCAACTGGCCACATTGGTGTCAATTTACTGACTTCCCGAAATGCAGGATTCTGAGACAGACAGACAGATAGATAACCTGTCTACACTATTTGTTTATCTTTTAATCCATGTTCCTTTGTACCTGTTCTTTATGAAATAAATAGGAATGTGGAATGTGAATGTGGATCTCTTCTTCAGTTCAAATACTGCTAGTAAGAAAACAATGCCAAATGTAGGTTTTTGGGGATGATCAAAATGGTGACAACATTTTATTTCATTCCAGGATACAGAACATGAAAATGATAGATGGCAAGCCAGAGTACAAGGGTGGACTGGTAGGTACCCGGTGTATCACATACCCAACAACCTGTGAAGATCCGGGCTAGAATTGGTCTTCAGTAACCCGTGCTTGTTGTAAGAGGTGACAACGGGATCGGATGGTCATGCTCGCTGACTTGGTTGACATGACACTGTGTCCGAATTGTGTAGAACGATGCTCATGCTATTGATCACTGGATTGACTGGTCCAGATTATTGTTCAAATATTACAGACTGGAGTGTGAGTGAGTAAACTTCGGCTCAGTATTATTCGTTACACTGCTATACTGAGTCTAACAAACCCTAGTAGTAGGTCTTGTCAGCTAACTTTGAGTGACCTATGACCGTCCAATCAAACGCGAGACGGACGAACGGATTTAACCTATTGGACAACGGATTTAACCTATCAGACAACGGCTATTGTTTAGGGTTCGGTGGGACTTACAAAATGGCGACACAAGATGAAATTGACATAAAACACAGATATTTGACCTGCAGTATACATGCTGTTGACATGGTTACTATTCGCTTATATTTCTTGACCTACTACTAGGGTTTGTTAGACTCATTTTGCAGTGTAACAAATAGTACTGAGCGTAAGTTTACTTAGACTGACTGGACTGTACAAGAACCTACGTCCTCTTTAAATGTTGTCACATGTCAAGATCAGTTTAATGACAGGACAAGACCAGCTCAGTTGTGTAAGGCTCAACATTTCGTTCCAAGCTGCTTTCCTTTGGTGTGCCAGAAAATATGAAAAAAAATGAACTGAAATACTCGCACACAGTTTCATGCAAATGTTGTAACTTGTTTTCCCTTGCAGGATGTGCTGGCAAATGTGATCCGGAAGGAAGGATTCTTCAGCTTGTGGAAGGGCTTCACGCCGTACTACGCCCGTCTCGGCCCCCATACAGTCCTCACGTTTATATTCTTAGAACAGATGAACAAGGCTTACGGCAAATATGTTCTAGGAGACTCGCGTGCTTCTGGAGGATTATAGGAGTGTGTGTGTTATAGACCCTTATATATCACCTACTACCTATATTGTTAGCATGGTTACGTACATGTGATAGCGTTGTAGGAGCTCAGTTTACATTTGTTAACAATTACTTAAGAAAAGTAACAGTGTGTTCAGTGAAATATTTTTTTGTGGAAAATTTTTCGGGATGGATGGGTATGTAACTGATATTTCAAGATATGTTTTGGCATTCTTGAGATTGAATTGATTATTTGGTGTGTTTGTGTTGTCATATAAATATTCTGGATCAGATTGAATTCTACTGAATTCCAAAAAGGTATTCTTGAATTGTGTGAACGAAGAAGATAACAGATATTGTGAACAGTATTTCTGTTTGAGGCCTCTGTGATTAGGTTTGGATAGGTGGCCCAGTTGTCTGAAAACCGTTATTAGGATTATGGGTTTGAATCCTGATTACATTTGTGGTATGTCAACACCATACCTGTGCTAAAAGGGTTCAAGACTTCTGCCAACAAGCTGAAATACTGTTAAAGGGCAATTAAACACAGCTAATTCTCTCCTGATTGGTCGTATCTGAACGCCTCTCATACCAGGAGGTAGCGGTGTCTATTGCTCAACGTTCGACCTGGTACGGATATTTTAACAATAAAGTTTGCATCTATTGATGCATGGTCAGACAAAACAAGCTTGATCAGATTACATAGATTGCTTATTCATGTTTTGTTTCTTATAGGGGAAATCGTTGGAAATCATTTAATTTTATGACAAAAAGTGCTTTTTAAGTTTTGTTTTAAAAAGGGAATCTTTTGATTTTAGTGGAATTAGTGAGAATATTGTTAAAACATTTGAGGTGTAAGATGATCTCATAAAGAAGATGTGTTTGTTGTGTGGGAGTCATTATATGGACATTTTGTATTTTTCAAGAAATATTTCTCGTGCCTCTTTCTCAGGATTATGTTCACAGAGATCATGGATGGAATCCCAGATTACAAACCTTGTTTTGTCAGAAGATACCTGAGTTCTTGAGTTCTCCAAAATATTAAACTTAGCGTTAATTTCCTTCCAAGTGCTAAAGATAATATACATGCAACAGGTGCTTGAATCAACGAGTAATAATATACCGGTGACAGCTCAGTTTGTTGTGAGCAAGTCTTGTGTTTTAGATAAAGCCGATCGGTATTGCTACGTAGTGTTAGAAGTCCCAGAGATTCAAGATGCAGGTGATGAGTCTTTGATATGTAAGTGTTGGTCAGTGATGGTTTGTATCTAGCATTGTCAATACTTCACCAATTTGTATGCACAATAGCAGTCCTCCGTCTCCTGTAAATACATACAGCAAGTATGTGTAGTACTGATATGTTAATTGTGTAGAAGGGGCGATGTGGTTAAAGCGTTCGCTCGTCACGCCAAAGACGCGGGTTCGATTTCCCACATGGGTGCAATGTGTTAAGCCCATTTCTGGCGTCCTCCGCGGTGATATTGCTGGAATATTGCTAAAAAAGGCGTAAAACCAAACTCAGTCAGTAATAATATTAACAATATTAAGGGTTGGGTCATTCATTAAAATAAAAATATTGAAGGCTAGGAGTGGGTGTGAGGTGAAGGTTATCAACAAATGTGACCCGCCGTGATATTGCTAAAATCAGCGTAAAACTAAAATCACTCACTAATTGTGTAGAAACCTTATGGATGAGGCTGTGAATAAGTAGTCTGAGTAAGAATTTTGTACCATCTCTGATCACGTGAATCGAGACGGACGTGGGAGTGGATGGTTGGTGGTTAGATCCACAACCAAATGACATTATGATATTTAATGTTACCCTGCCTGGCATTCGGTCTTAAGGACCTATAACATGACTTGTGAATGGGGCAGACTTGTTCAACTACAACATGGCTTCAATGAGCGACAGAGGAATATTGCGTATAACAACCTATGAAGTGTTGAAAACTATTGTTTTTGAAGAATGGGACAAATTCTCGTATGTATGTTTAACCAGCTAATACATGCTAGAGTGTTGTTTCGTATGAAATGTCTATAATATTTTGTGTGCTGGCATGCAGATGATAAATTTTGGAAGATAACTATGAGTATTACTGAAGAGTATCTGTCTCCCAATGTGTGCAAATAAACTTTTCTCATTTTCTTTAAAGTAGAGATTAATCCGATCTAAATCCACATTGTATTCAGTAGAATGGTGCATAATATACATATTTATAGTGCTATTGTTTTGTCAAATATACTCATGGAAACAAATAAGGGAACACCTGAAAGTACAAGTGTTCCTTTATTCTTTTCCAGGTTTCTTAACAAGCTTTGTATTGCATTGTGGGTGAAATTCTAAAAAAGAATAAAGGAACACTTGTACTTTCATGTGTTCCCTTATTTGTTTCCATGAGTATAGATATTTAATTTGAGTATAACACTGTGTTCATCTAAGCCTGAGGTATGAATTGGCTTCAAGCCATTACCTCTCGTAAACCTTAGCATTTAGTGCTCTATGATTTTGTGTCGTTTGTTATATTTTACAGACATTCTGATGTACAAAAGGTTACCTGTCACAGGTCTTATATCAGTTACCATGGTTACCAGAGGCTGAAAGACAAATGTTGCTGAAGCCCATATTATGTGGTGACAAATTTGAGCTCATGGGGACACTTTCGTCAGCAATGGGTCACAGGTGCTGCAACTCACTGTACGAAGTTGCTTCTCTTTGTTTTGACAGGATCACGAGTTGAAATTAAATCTGTTCGTATTGTACATTGCTTACAGTTTTCAGTAAAGTGGAAAGATTCTGTAGTAGGTTCTGTTAGGGCATTCCCTCCACATGAAGGCAGTATGCCGTGATAATATGTCAATACTGTCCTTGGTGGCATTAATAACAAGATTCGTGATTCTAATATATTCATATGAACTAAATATCAGTGGCGTGGCCACAAGAATAGATTTTTGAGTTTTGTGTTGCAATGGTTGCCAGATTCCTTGATTTATTTCTATGAAATACATACTGTTAAAACAGAATCAACAGATTGGCATGTGATCATATCATGACCTTCAGAGTTTGTGTCGAAGTATTCCTGTATGTTAATCACAGCAGTGTTGGGTCCTCGAGTCCATTTGGTTGCTCTGATAATATACTACTCACCTTTCAATAGGGATAGGGGCAGCGGGGTACCATGTGGTTAAAGCGTTCGCTCTCATGCCAAAGACCCGGGTTCGATTCCCCACATGGGTACAATATGCAGAGCCGATTTCTGGTGTTGCCCGTTTTAATATTGCTGGCATATTGCTAAAAGTGGTGTAAAACGATGTTCACTCACTCAAAAGGGATAACCAAATGTGTTGTATCTAAATATACACTTGTCATCTGCGAGGGTCATTGTGTTTTGTTTTGTCCACAGATATATTTATATATACATGTATATGTCTCTGTTAGAAATGAAGTAGTATATTTGAATGTATGGATCACATCAGTCGACAACTTTAAACACATGGGTAATGATCGTTTACTTAATGATTAATTTTGAACACTGCGCTGGATATGGATACACATTCTGTGGATATATTAATATCATGTATACATCTGATTATCCCCCCTTGTTATGTTTGGATCTTATGTTTGGTTATCGTCTCCTGTGTCTGCCACACACCATGTGTGTATGTACAGCTCAACTTTTGATAGGGATAATCAGACATGTCATATTATTACTCGCCCATGGGAGATACTGCAGTGTAATATCTTTACAGCAATAGTACACTAGTGTAATACTGCTAGACGTATGACATCATAATGGTTTACAGTTATGATGTCACAATGCTAATACCAATGTCACAATGGTATTAGATCTTGCTTGACTCACAGAAAGCTGAGAGTCATCATACTGTAGGCAGTCTCTATCAATTTATGTCGGAGAATAATATACAGAATACTAAACCCACTTCCGTGAAATACCCTTTTTATTAAACTCGTGAAAGATTTGGTATCAAACCAGATCATTAACTTGTTTAATAAAAATGGTTTTAAATGGAAGGTCATTTAGCATTGTCTATATATTTAAATATACACTTGACACCTATAAATGTGATTTAGTGTTGCTTATCATGGTAAGATAAATATATCCCGATCAAAAGTGGAGTGGTATGTATTAGTAATTGTATATTGTTGCAGGAGACAATTGTTAAAGTAGAATTCCCCCGAGTGATATGATTCTATGGCACAGTGACTATTTTCAGATTGTTTGAAGAACCTTGAGATGTTATACTTACAAGATATGAGATCATGTAGAGATGATGATGAAAAATACTTGAGAAACATGGCGTTGTGTGTTCTGTGATGATGATATTGGGTAGATGCGCATGGCATCGATACTGGCGGATACATGCATGCATTGAAAAGAATTGATACTAGTGTTAAACAGTGTGTGAAATAGCCACTAGCCTGTGGCTAGTAAAAATCCAGTCGGGGCCAGTAAATCTCCACAGTCATTGGTCCGACTGGCAAGTGAAATTTCATGGGGGTCACTTTGTAAATATATCACTCTCTCCAACTTTCTTAAGTTAAAATACACTTTTAAATCATGCAAGATTATGGCCTGAAATGTTCATCATCAGCTTAATGATGACACCCGTGTCATGCAGACAGTATCTTATTCTCATCTATTTTTTTATTCGGGCTAGTAAATTGTTTTATGGGATAGTAACTTTCAGGCATAGCTTGCCTGACTGGCAAGCAAAATTTTGAAACTATTTCGCACACTGTGTTGAAGTGATGGATATGTGCATGCACTGAAGAGTATTGGTACTGGTCTACAAGTGATGGATGGATACATGCATGCACTGAAGAGTATTGATACTGGTCTATATGATACTGGTCTACATGATACTGGTCTATATGATCATGTTTAACACCTACACACCAAGGTGACCCTTCAATAACGACACAGTATATGAAACAAGTTTACCAGCAGGGTACGTTGTCATACAAAGAGCCAAGGCTGATGTTGCATCTGATATCATTTGTTAACTCAATGAATCGCACCAGTTCCACCTGGTTGGATTGTCTGGTCCAGACTGCCATCATATAGCTGGAATATTGCTGAGTGTGCTGGGCTTCCATGGATGTCAATTCTGTCTGGAAACCCAACAAGGAATATGATGCAGAGGTACAAAACATCACAGTGAATGACTGCAAAATTCACTTTCACAAACATTCAGGCTGGTAAATGGTGAATACCGAACTATTTTTCCCCACATCACTACATTGAAGGAAGTGAAGACAAACAAGGCGTATGAATACAATATATGTATTTACTTACAAATGTACACCGGGAATCAAAACAGCACAATCAGTAATACAAACATGATAATCAAACTGTCAGCTGGATGACTAAAATAACGTAAAACAAACATGGCAATAATCATCATTTCTGACATGTTGCAATACAGAAAATGTCTGTCCATGGCGCAAATCAAAATATAAACTGACTTTTAGATAATATACTTGAGTACTTAAGTGGATCATTGAGTTGTACGCCAAATAACAAACCAAGTCTTTAACAGCTTGTTTCTCTGTAAATCAGGAAATTAGTGCGCGTGTCCCTTGTTTGTGTAAAGTACAATTGTTCTGGACATATTGTCAGGTGTGGTCTACAACACAGGTCATTTACATTCTAAGATTGCACTGAACTGTACACCTGGGACCTGGCCTGAACCATCTATTTTGAATATGGATGGGTGTGTGTGTGTGTGAGTGAGTTGAGTTTTGAGTTTTATGCCGCACTAAGCAATATTCCAGCTATATGGCGGTGGTCTGTAAATAATCCAGGGATCAACAGCAAGAGCATCGATCTACGCAATTGGGAACTGATGACACGTGTCAACCAAGTCAGCAAGCCTGACAACGCAATCCGTTATTCGCCTCTTACTACAAGCATGGGTTACTGAAGACCAAATCTAACCCGGATCTTCACAGGTGCATTTGAATATGGATCATCTTAATTGCCTGCTCTTCATTTCATGAATTTTGAAGTAGAGTTTGTAAAGATATTCCCTCCAACTGCACTAACCAGACACAATATCATGGATGTCCGAGTGATTACTGTCTCGGGTAAATAGTTTTAAAATTTCACAGGTACGGCTACAAAATGTATCCGTATCATTACACAATTTTGGCCAGGGGTTGACACTCGCATTATTTTGATGACACAATATAAAATTCATGATTTACAGGATACAGAATAGGTGCAAAAGCTTGGGATCAGTTTCTCCTTGATCTCATTGAAAATTAATATATAATAATAACAAAACAAATTTTACAGAGACAGGCTTAATCAAAACAGAAGTTGCCCTGAAACAGTATGGACTACAACATTCCACTATTCCAGACAACAGTTTTCTCTCTACAGATTTTTCAACTCAGTGTTAAAGTCATACCACTAAACAATCCCTGCAACAAAATGGCAGCCCTGTACTTACGATACAGTTCCAAACTCAAATCAAATGAAGTTCACTGTCAGTACTTCAGAGGTTTGTATACACAATGTTCCACATCCAACCTACACTTTGACCAACATTGGAGGCACCAGGGACTGAGCCTTCTCAGCTCCCTGGAGTGCCTCCACTATCTTCAGGCCAAACTCAAAGCAAGTTCCAGGGCCTCGGCTGGTGATCAGCTTGCCGTCCTGGACAACTCGGTCCTCTGAATACTTGTAGTCACCTGGAGAAGGAGAGAAGTGTGTTAGATTTGGTTTCAAAGAGTATTTCAGCTATATTGAAAACCATAAGTCACTGTGTTCTTTAATCTGATTGGTTGAAAAATGTGATCAAATGGTATTCAATTCCCGAAAATTCGCTACGTATTGATACATACAAACATCGCTCATACCATTGTATTGTTACGTCGTCAGCTGTGATGACGTCAATCAAATCATATTGTGATGTAAAGTCCGAATGACCTCGCAAATGAGCAGTTCCAGATGCTACCATGGGAGACAGCTGAAACGGCTGGCTGATGACTGCTGTACCCGTGTCAATGAGTGCAGACACAAAAACATGTGTGGACCTTTTGGTTTTCTTTTGTGTTTACAGCGTCAACAAACATCATGTCTTGGCCAATTTCCGGGTGTTATTAGGTATTTGAAGCACGGGAATATTTCATTTGAAACCTCCAAATGAATTCCTGTGCTTCAAATACTCAATAACACCCGGAAATTGGCCAACACATGATGTTTATCTCCTAATTAACACGTTAACCACTAGGTTACCATAGTTACCACAGAAAACCAAAAATCCCTGGAAACACTCTTTTAACTGTATGTTATGTTAAGATTCAAAATTTTTCACCTTGGTGGTAAAGAAATAAATCTGATAGGGTCAAGAATCTACACATCCTCCAGTCAATTTCGGCAGTCAAATGCAACCAAGGATCAACTGACATGACCTTCTATAGAGAGCTTCAGTGTCATGACCATTGATCATGGCCTCTCATCTCAATATGGAGAATTACTCAAAGTAATGGATGGTCATCTACCCTGCCCTGCCTCACAAAGCAACAAACATGATAACTTCAAATCAGGATTTAAACACATGGTCAGTTTCTTGCATGAAATGGGAAATACTTTAAAGCACCTTCACAACTGGGCCACCTGTGGCCCCTTTAGTAGCCTAACAAAATGAATACATAAAGAAAGGAATGTGATAAAAGTCTAAAATTTATAATTGTAGCATTTGTGCATCACCAAATAAACACAAATGTCTAAAAACACAAATGTCTAAATGTACGTAGCTCACCTTCCTTAATCTGGTCTGCAACTCCAGGATGTGAGGTCACAGTCTTCCCCTTACCGATGCCATGTGCCTTCAGCTCGGTTGGCGCTGGGGGAAAAAGGGAAATAACTCTGCATGATGGCTATCCTAGACAAATCATGAAAAGTACAACACACACATACCGATACACATATATACCTTTTCTAAATTCAAAATACTGATCAACTCTGTATTTTATCAAATATGTCACAACACTATTACTACAAGGAACAGACATATGCCAACAAAATACTCCATTGCAGGATTTAGACACAGCCATCAGTCACAAAATCCTCAGATGAGTGACTGGATGGTTTACTTGTATTATCATGATTATACCAGGACACTGCACATCCTACCATGAATACTTATTCAATTCTGACTGCTTATAGGTTTTAAATGATAATGACACACCACTGATTGAGGTTTTAAATGATGACACACCTCTGACTGAGGTTTTAAATGATAATGACACACCTCTGATTGAGGTTTTAAATGATAATGACACACCTATGACTGAGGTTTTAATGATAATGACACACCTCTGATTGAGGTTTTTAATGATAATGACACACGCTCTGACTGAGGTTTTAAATGATAATGACACACCTCTGATTGAGATTTTTAATGATAATGACACACCTCTGATTGAGATTTTTAATGATAATGACACACCTCTGATTGTGGTTTTTAATGATGACACACCTCTGATTGAGGTTTTTAATGACAATGACAAGCCTCTGATTGAGGTTTTAAATGATAATGACACACCTATGACTGAGGTTTTTAATGATAATGACACACCTCTGATTGAGGTTTTAAATGATGATGAATATGACACCCTCTGATTGATTGAGGTTTTAATGACAATAATGACATAATGACACACTGACTGAGGTTTTTAATGATAATGACACACCTCTGATTGAGGTTTTTAATGACAATGACACGCCTCTGATTGAGGTTTTAAATGATAATGACACACCTATGACTGAGGTTTTAAATGATAATGACACACCTCTGAGGTTTTTAATGATAATGACATGCCTCTGATTGAGGTTTTAAATGATAATGACATGCCTCTGACTGAAACAAGTGGTTTGAAGCCCACATCAATGATTCACGTAACATGACTAGATATATAGATGTACATCTACAGTCAGTCAGACCTACCTGCACATACAGCTGCCACCAATGCATCCCGCTCTTCCTGTTCCTTGAGCAGTTTCCCTACAGCGGCAGACTGACATACACAAAGATCTTAAACTCATCAAATAGTTATAATACTTGTTAGATAGATTTTAAACTTGCTACATCAATGTAAGATTTGCTACATAAATTTTCAATTCACCAAATAGTTTTAATACTAAGTGAGTGAGTGAATGAGAGTGAGTGGGTGAGTGTGGTTTTATATGGCTTTTAACAGTATTCCAGCAATATCACAGTGGGGGACACAAGAAATGGGCTTCACACATTGTACCCATGCTGGGAATCGAACCCAGTTCTTCAGCATGATGAGTGAACGCTTTTACCATTAGGCTACCCCACCACCCCAATCTACTGCCCCAATCTACCCGTACTAAGAATTCTCTTGTGACAGGCATGGACTCCTGGAGACTTTTGTGACACAAATCTCACGCTAAGTTTACCTCACGAAGATTCTTGGCACCTGTACCGCCTCCTGGCAAAACAATGACATCATATGGCGCCGACTTCAAAGCATCATCAAGACTCTTGTCCGGCACGACCTTGACCTGACGACTACACAACACAGGGTCGGTGCCAGTCAGTCCAGCTAATGTCACATCAATCTGAAATAAGGGAGGGTATGACTGTTGTCCCATGTTAAATGCTCTCTCAGAGTTGGGTACATTTCATGAAATAGTGGAACACACAATTTGTTCTTCTAGATAAAGACACCAGTCTTAGTAAACTTAGGCTCAGTATTATTTGTTACACTGCTATACTGAGTCTAACAAACCCTAGTAGAAGGTCACGTAAGCTAACCTTTGAACGACCTATGACCGTCCAATCAAACGCAAGACGGTCAAACGGATTTAATCCATCAGACAACGACTAATACTTAAGGTTCAGCGGGACTTATAGTTCCCTTTCAAAATCACCCGTGACTAGTTTAATCTTTTCAATTCTTACAGAATTCATTTTGAACTTCTGTGTGAAGTGGTTTTTTTATTTTGTCTTCACTGGTCGTTGACACTGATATCTTAACAAATGAACATCTGCATAAAACACAGATATTTGACCAGCAGTATATAAGCTTAGGGGTTTCTGATGACATGGTTACTATTAGCTTATATTTCTGCAAGATGACATCTTGAATGTTGACAAAAACGCTATTTTCAGCCACTGTTTACTCACTGTTGTGAATAATGGCATCCTCCAATGTGTATCACCCGGAAGAGATTGTGTGGAAAATAGCATTTGGAATCATTCGTGTGCAAATGTTTTCGAGGTGAAAGTTTAAACAGTATGTATGAATGTTAACTTTCGCTATAAGCTGTTATCTGATTGGTCAATTGAAAAGATTAGCTGACTCGACCTTCTACTAAGGTTCGTTAGACTCAGTATAGCAGTGTAAAGAATAATACTGAGCCTAAGTTTACCTAGACTGATAAAGAAACAAAACTTTGAGACTGTTACCTTCTTACTATGCATCAGATATTCAACTTGGCAGTGTCACCTTACATATTTAAACATGACATTTCTCCAAGATATTTTTATGGATTAAACTTCTTTTTTATTTCCCTCACGACGTTTCAGGACCATTCCAGGTCCCTTCATCAGGTGAACTGACAGTTGAGACTATGACGTCGTCACTATGATCAGTTAACCTGATGAAGGGACCTGGAATGGTCCCGAAACGTTGTGAGGGAAATAAAAAAAAAGTCTAATCCATAAAAATATCTTGGACATCTATGTACAACTTCTAAATGCCACTGAAAGACATTTCTCTTTTCACATTTTATTCATTCACTTTTCAAACACATGTCATTATTCCAGTCAGAGTAAAAAATGACCTTCCAAAGATTAATCTTTGCATTGTAGCAAAACTGGGAAACATAGGATGGCAAAACCTGTAATGAATTTTGCGTAAACAATCTAATGGTGTATTTTTTTCTAAATTGAGAAGCCAAAAGTGCTAATATGAAATAAGCATATCTTAAAAGAAACAGGACTCTATTTCTAATGGAACTGTGGATATCAAATGTAGATATTGAGCAAATGTACCTGTAGAAACATTTATCCCTAATGGCTACCGAACAGTTATCGCCATATTTTAGCGGTATTTACAAAATTACTCCGCCGTTCCTTACATTAATGAAACAATATTAATCATGATACTTAATAAGCTATTCACCGATGTGTCCTGCCTGATCACTGTCGTCGATCATGTTTTTATAACGCGGCGGAAGGGAATCATGGCAGTATAAGTAGATGTTTTCTCACCACTAACTGTAACATTTATCACCATTTAGAATTTCTCATGCCATTCCTGAAATAATATATATATATTTATATCATTCAGTAACCTCGAATAATTGATTGTGTGACTATTTGAGTGTTTCTATTACAGTTGATTGATAGGAAATGAAACAATGAATGACTTGTGAACTTGAATTTGCTATTATATAGGTTGTGGGACATCCCCTCGACTAAGTTAAAATTTATTTATAGGGTTCATTACTTTATCTTTAATATTTCTCTTATGTTACTTACCGTGAAGAATTTTCTTTTGCTGTCTTTTATTGTTGTCAAATACCGTGGGGAAAAATACCAGAATTGTAATTGACCGGAACTGCGCACGTGTTATACTGATTTATTGGCGATAACTTTTGCTAGCCAGTAACCCTAACCTAACCCTGTTTTGGCAGGGCATGGGTTTTGAGATATTGTCATATATAGGCTACAGGTTTACAATATCAATATGCAACTTGAATATGAAAGACAGTTGGACATGTAAGTTTGGAAGTTGCTCAAAATTATTATTTGAAGATATATGCTTCAATTACTAAAATTCCAAATTAGACACTGAAATGGCCCCTAAATGATTTTGGATGATAATATGACGAAAGAAAAAAATAAAATTTTACAAATGGTAGGTTTAATAACTGTCGAACACATTGTCAGTTTTTCCTTGAACCCTATGCACATACATACAGATTTATTTCAAGACAGACACCCGTTTTATTTCAACGCATCCCTGTACGTCAGTCTCAGCCCTATATTGACGTTTAAAGTTAGGCTTCATTTCACAAGAAAACACATCATGACAGTCAATATTACCCCGCCCCTGCGCAAGACATCTACTGTGATGACAGTCTCCATCTCTTCTGCCCCTTCGGCTAACAGTACAATAGCTGACGGCATCTTTGTGGAGTTGCAATTGACGTTTAGATATGACGTTTACGGTCTTTCGTTCGCGTTTCTATAAACCGGAAGTGTGGTTGATTTGTAGCGTATGTGGAGAGAAAACGGTTTTCCCAACAACTATGTATAAATTTCCATTAGAGAATCAGACGTCTGATGGTGGAAACGAAACATATTAGAAACGGCCCCAAACAGTGACAAAATGATGATGATTTTATGGAGAAGCATGTACAGTGTGGATGGCCCCTAAAATTTATGTACAAAATAAGTAACCCCCTGCATGTCATGTACAAAAATCTGCGACCCTCCCTTCCCATAATTTCTTAGTATAATTTTAAACACAATTTTATGTACAAAACTGTCCTCTTTCATTTTGGAAAAATCCATCAGTTTTCAAACTTGTCCAGCTCTTAAGCATCCAATATGTTAAACAACTAACCTGGGTATATTTCTATTGAAGTCTTCAAAGTTAAGACTAAATTAATTGTAAAATGTGTTTGTATATTCCAACTCCTTCAGAATGAGGACAAACTAACCACCCTGTTTGTACTGAAGACATGTTTTCACCCACCAAGGGATATAGAGAATTGAGTCTCCCTGGGGAAGCTATTTCGTCATTGTGACCAACTGAGATGTAGAATTAGTACAATACTGTACCAGTTCATTAATACGAAATGTTACTCTTATATTCACAAGAGAAGAAACTGAATTGGTTTCTAAGTGGCAGGCACGAGGACTGAATGATCACGGCATAAAACGTCCAGGTCACGTGATCAACATGGTGCAACAATGGGATGACAAAAGCTAATAAACAAAATGTAATTAAACTAGAATAGAAAAATCAAAGAAACAACAACAATACATTGTACATAGTTTATTGTTACGCATCACACGCTTATCATATATTATAAAGATGATGATGACGACGACGAATTCTCTGAACATAATTGCTCAAGACACTTTTTGTGTCGATCCTCATTTGAATATTTTTGAATTTTTAGCATCATAGACTATGAGTTATTTCTGAAGTAAAAAATGTAAGTGTATTTTAATGCGTAAAGTATTACTTCTGTGCAATTTGGTTTCATAAATGAAAACTCTAGACTGTATTCGCAGTCGTTTGGCATGTAGTATCAGAATATTGGTGTTGTAGTACGCGAGTAAATTTGCATAAATAATCTCAAACCATAGCGTTTTATATTAACCAACCATTAAGGAAATTTATTTCACACGCACCAAATTAACGACGCTCTCAACATCACAAATCCAACACATATTAGTATAATAACTTTGTTTTGAGAAAGCTATTTTCTGCGACAAAAAATACGTCTCTATGCATAACTGTTTACAGTTTCTAGGTTCGAGAGTAAAACTGTTTGGTTGTCACGATGGCAATGAATGACATGCGTGTTGATCTCAACTTGATGGAGGGAGATATATCTTCTAAATAAATGGACGCTGGGAGGCGATGAATTATAAAGGATGGGTCGGACAAAACAATAGATAATTAATCAGCGGAAAGAAGGAAGCTAAACCGCAACCTAGCTCGCTTGGATTCACTGCACCGTGCGGGCACCTGCTAAATATACACGCCCTCAACTGCAAGGGATCACAACTATCGGCATTGCTGTGAAGGAACTTGCCGAAAATGAAAGCATTTTTAAAAGGAGGCGAGGGCATGTTATGCCCGATGGGACCTAAAGTGACAACCATAGGAAGAGAAGGATGTGATATTATAATTCAGGTGTGTTCATCATGGATACAAGATGTCACAGTGTGGAAACGATTCGTGTATAATTGACACATTCTTGTGTAAACATGTACAACTTGTCTGGCAAATTGATCATTATGTATCTTTCATACAACAATGTGTGAGAGATAGTTATAATTTTGACCACTTATAATCCAAGTCACAATTTTGATACAGTGTTGAAACATTATTTCATAAATGTGTCGTGATTATTGATGATACGTTATTTAACTCATGTATCTAACTTGTGTAGCCCCCCTGACAGTAAGATACAGCTGTACGGCTTTGATTATGTGAAATTGATCATAGTGACCCGGTAAACAAACATAAACTTGAAGGGTGGAGAGAGTTTTCAAGGTAAAACTAATATGATATACTTTATCAGTTGCTGGCGTATGTATCACTTTATTGATTAAGTTTAAACAGTGTCATTAATATCAAACAATTTATATGGCACTTTAATCAGCTGATACTTAATGCACACAGTGCTTAAACACACATTTAGTATTGAAATTCTGCACTTATTTGAATTGCTTATTCAATCAAATAATTTAAATTGATTCATCATTTACAATGAGCATATCATGGTACTGCTTGTACATAGAGTATTTTTTAATTTCTCTATCTGTCATCTGTCAAAATAATTGTCTGCCACCAAGGGACAATGTGATCAAAATCTAATATATTCCAATGTCATGGTCATCTATGAGGGGCGGTGTGGTAGCCTAGTGGTTAAAGCGTTGGCTCGTCGCGCCGAAGACCCAGGTTCGAATCCCAACATGGGTACAATGTGTGAAGCCCATTTCTGGTGTGCCCGGGCGTGATGTTGGTGGAATATTGCCAAAAGCAGCTTAAAACCAAATTCAGTCAGTCATCTATGATTGCATATTTTTCATAATTCTGTTGTCATTGGGTGACAGAGCCTCTTATGCTAGTTTCATGTGACTTGAAGACAATTTGGCATTATCTGATTATTCAAGATCAATATGAAGTATTTTCTTTTGCAATCATGTGATATACATTTTTAAAAATTATTTTATTTAGTTACATACGTGTATACTTTGTATATGTATAAGTATGGAATACTGCTAGTTAAACATTATTTTCACAATTATTTTACTTTCATTTATCAAGGATTACTGCATCTTTGTCATTGTTCAAAAGCAAAAGCTTTTAATATATAGTATTTAACAGCTGGCAGCAAGGAGTCAACAGTCAAAGTATAATACAGTTTTATGTCAAACTATACATACAAATAACTGCTTGAGAGAGGGTCTTGCATGTCTGCCTACCGGTGGACACAGATTTCAGCTGGTAGAAAAAATGCATCTACAAGTGTTTTTATCAAAGTGATAAAACAAAATTGGGTCTTCTTCTAAGGCCTGTGCCGGAATGTTGGAAGCCCCGTGCAGGGATGTTGGGGTAGCCTTGTGGTTCAAGCGTTCCCTTGTCACACCAAAGACCCATGTTCGATCCCCTACATGGGTACAATGTGTGAAGCCCATTTCTGGTGTGCCTGGACGTGATATTGCTGGAATATTGCTAAAAGCGGCGCAAAACCATACTCTCTAACTCGCTCACTCTAACTCCTGTGAAATTTACCATGCAGTGTGGCTTCCATGAACAGTTCCAAATTCTAGTCATGGTTCAAGTCCAAGATTAAACTTGATTATGTTTCTTGGTCTGCCGGGGCAGTGGGGTAGCCTAATGGTTAAAGCGTTGGCTCGTCACGCCGAAGACCTTGGTTCGAATCCCCACATGGGTACAATGTGTTAAGCCCATTTCTGGTGTCCCCCGCCGTGATGTTGCTGGAAAATGGCTAAAAGCGGCGTAAAACCAAACTCAGTCAGTCAGTCTTGGTCTGTCAGCACCAAACTTAGAAACCAGCGCTTTTGGTTCACAGTTATAACAACTACAGTAACACACTGTTGTGTTGAACTTTGAGGTGTAAAAACTTTGGTCCCTGCATGTCCTTTAGTCATCATTAGGGGGTTGTGTCAAACCTCAGATAAGGGGTGGTGGGGTAGCCTAGTGATTAAGGTGTTCGCTCATCATTCCGAAGACCCAGGTTCGATTTCCCACATGGGGACAATTCCGGTGTCCCCTGCTGTTGTATTGCTGGAATATTGCTAAAAGCGGTGTAAATCTAAACTCACTCACTCACTCTGATAACTCAAAGTATTTACTTATGTCTCCTCACATTCTACACAACACTCACTCACTCTACTCAACAGTGTTTGTGTTTTAGCTTACAATTAGATATGTTGTGACTGAATTATTGTACACATTGGCAACCTCCATCGATTCCAACCATTATTCTCTGCTCTGACACAACATTCTCATATCCCCAGATGCCTGGAGTGGACGCTTATTTTCCTTATCCTGACTCATGCTCTTTGCTTGTCTTCTTCTTCTGCTAACATAGTGGAACACTTGTATCTCCTTATTTGAAGCCCCTTCAAAATAAAAATCACTAATTGGTACTCACCACGAAGTTGCTCCCTTTGTCCCCTGGCGGAAAAAGGTGTCGCCACCCTCTGGCCATGTGCTTCACTCTCCTCCTTCTTCGCCCAGTGAGCAGGATGTGAGAGCCTTGTGTCTCCTTACACACATATCCTTTGATAATCTCTTAGTTTTACCTCTCATAGGTTACTATAGAGGTATAGCTAGTATCCTTTACTATTTGTATTGATTAATTATCGTGATTTCTACTGTTTATTCACGTATTCGTGATTGTTCAGCTAGCTTTACGCTCATGAAAATCTGTACGATTTGTAGATTACGCTTTTCTGCCTCCGATCCACATGTAATATGCCCTAGTTGTTCTACTGCGGTAGCTTAATTCACGCTTGCAGTTACTGCATTAATTTATCTCATTCTGCATTTAATAAATATCATCTTTATGCGCTTTAAGACGCATGCAGATAGATCACGCAAACAAGGGCAAAACATGGCAGAGAGTCCAGATATTCCTTCCAGTCAGCTGCTAGCGATCGACCCTCTCCGCCTGGTGTTCTGCTAGAGACCCCCGCGCAGAGGAACGTGGGACGAGTCCGCTACTCAAGAAACGACCGCCTCCCCAGACATCCCGCCATTGCAGACTAAGTCTAAGAGGGCCTCATCGCCGCCTCAACGCAGATTGAGGACACCCAGGGCAGCAGACTTCCAAAGGGAAATCTACGAAGACAGCAAGAACTTTCTCAGCCGAGATCGCTCCAGCAGCAGAGTTGGGCCTCTACGATGATCAGCCGATAATCATCCCCGACTTACGCAGAAGAAGCGACCGTGTCAGCGACTGTGACTTCTGCAGAGATCTCCATGCAGCCTGATGCTCTACAC